AAAAGAATGAAGAGATTTTAAAAATAAAAATAAGCGGAAATGAACTTTATCCTTAGGAATTCTTTTTTTACAATGTTTGTTGAATACCACCACATCTCTGGGGATAACTGGAGATAGCCCAGGGTGGCTCAAAACCACAGTGGTGGACTGTTCCTAAGCCTAGAGAGCCACTGTAACTTTAGCCACTGTACTTTCTATTTGGCCATAAAGAGTTTCAGCTTCCTGGAGTTGGCTCCCATTTGGATTCCAGCATTCTGGCTCCTGATGTGGGTTTGTGGTTTTCAACTGCCTGCAGTTTATATGGAAGGGACTAGAAGGTCTTAGTGGAAAAGAAAAATAAGCACATTTAGGCAACAAGTAGTTCAGAACTTTGACCAGCAGGTGTCTCTGCAGACAAGGAAGAAGTTTGCCTTTGGCCTTGGAGGTGGAAGATGGGTTTTCTAGCTTAACTGAGGAAAATTGTAGTGGAAATGAAACAAGCAAAGGTAGGTCAGCTACCTATAGAAATCGATCCCAACAGTATAAATTGTTCTTCGCCAACAGTTGGAAAGGCTGGTATAAATTCTAAGCAAACCCCAATCTCCATGCAAGGAAGTGCTACCCAAACATGCAAGGCTGTTTGAAGGTGAACACTTAAAACGTAGAGACAATTCCCAAGGCAGGTGCAGCAGAGAATATGGCTTTTTAGTCAAGAGAGATGTAAGAAGAAAGGAAAAGAGGAAAGATGCAGCTCTTTAGTTTTCAAACCAGGGAAAAAGGAGAACTTCCAGCTAAGGCGGACATTTGAAGAGTGTCTTATTTTCTGTGAAATGTTACGAGTTTCTAGAACTTTTGGAACTCAATTTTAGGATCCAAATATTGCTTTAAATCTTAATATTTGTTTAGTATCACATTTTTTATTTAGGAGAAAGAGGCAGCTTATAAGAAAATAATTCAGTTAGTGTACATATTAGGGAGTTGATCACAGAGAGACTAAGTGTCCCTCATCCTAAGCAGCATATATTTCTGTGGGGGAAAAAAATCCTGGATGAATTTCTTTTCATGCTGAATGTATTTTCCCATTGATTTTTCTTATAAAACCAAAAGTGCATTTACCTAAGGGAAATATTGATCTCAAATGATAATGTCATCACATCTAAGAATGAAGAGTCTTTTTAAAAAAAATCATACTTCAGGGTGTTTTAGTTGTTTTAAAGGGTAACACTTTAATAATAATCTAAAATTGCTGAAATTTTGTCCCAAAACATAGCCAAGGAGTAAGGGTAAATTTATGTTTTGTGTATTAACTTGAATGTTTTCCTTAAAAAGAGAAATGTAGGCAAACTGAAACCCTTGACTGAAAACTGATTTAATATCTCTTAAACTACCCGCACAAACACACCCACCCCCCCGCCCCCAAGACATTTCAAAGCAGGAGACTTTGAGTCTGGCTACTCAGACATATTTCTGGATGCCCAGGGAAGCATTTGGACACAGCCAGGTTGATCTAGGATAAGAGAAGAAAAGGCAAATCCACACTGCTGACTGCTGGTGCAGGACGCTGCAGCCTTAACAAAGAGAAGACATGCTCTCAGCTCACCCAGAGAACCAGGGCTCGTTGTTTGTTTGAACAATGTGCATCCAACAGTTCCCAGATTTCTATGTGATGGCAGAATTTATCACTGGCGAATGCTTTCCTTGTTTGGGAATATGTAGCATGTCAACATTCTATGATGTCGCCTTTTGGCATACAAAGCTTTGGAAGAATGCTGCAGTCTCAACTCATATCCTGTGAGTGTCTTTCAGAGCACAAGTATGTTGGGCCAGTAAAAAGCGAGGGGCTGGACTGTCTTCAAGGTCCAGGAATCTGAGACTCTGTAGAATTGTGTTGTGAGGCTGCAGTTTTCTTTCAGGCTGCTGAAAGTCTGTTCCACAGACAGATGAAGGGGGCCTTTAAAATCCTGAAAGAGTTCATTGATTACCTCCCACCCATGGCTTGTATCACAGGGCAGATCTTAGGTGTTTAGAGGTTTTTTATCACTGCTGGAAGTTTTTAAGGGACTATCAAGTCCATTAAGAACATCTTGGTTTGTCCAGGAAACGACACAATGGCACTACTTAGGAAACAGGCACCTTTTCATCTTTGGATCCACCTTCTGCTTTTCCAGGAAAGGATGAATTGGTGATGGCACCAACTGGGAACTGAGATGGCTAGCTCACTGTGTCCACCCTGGCCTGCAGGGGCTCTGAGAATTCAGCCCCAAGCCACTAGACTCAGTCTTTTGGGATAGGAACACCCCTTCCAGACTCTTTTCTAAGGGCAGCAAAACTCCTAACCAGTTAATACAGATCTCATGGCATTATTTAAAAGTGAAGCCATCCTGGGTGCTTGGTTCAGTTTTGGAGTCTGTTGTTTATTATTCATATGCTTCCAGGCCTGTACTGATCTTAAAAACTCTCTAATTGCTCTGCTTCTTCCCTGGGTCTAAAGGGAGCTCAGCCACCTTGGGCTTCTAGAGAAACCATCTTTCCCACTAGCTTTTACCTTGATAGGGTTTGTAATCTTGTGGGGGAAGATCTCTAAAGTAGGCTGCTTGACTTTGACACTTGCTTCTAGCTCTATCACTTTCTAGCTCTATGACATGGCCAGTCTCCCTATCCCTCTTTGCCTCATTTCCCTTATCTGCAAAATGGGGATCATATAATGCTCTCCTAAGGTTGTTCAGAATTAAGTGAGTTCATGTCTGTAAATTGTTTAACTTAGTGCCTCCAAATTTGCCTTAGTGTTGCCTATGAGTTCCTCTGCAAACTTAACTCAGTCTTTGGTACACACCAAATCCTTATTAAATACATATATCTAAACTGCTTTCCTTTTCCCCTCATGATCTTCTTTGATGAATCCTTTCCTGAATTTTCTATAGTCTTCTCACCAAAGAGTACTCTCCAGGGAGATTTCCAGCAAGGCTTTGTCCAAGTTTCAATAGGAGACACCACTGACTGTCCTCCATCCACATAAGCAGGGAGCATAAATCACATACACATACCACACACATTTTGAACATTATCAGGGACAAGGGTGATCTGCCTCTTCTCTTTGGAAATTAGACCAACGCTCCATTTTCTAGTTTTTCCCCAGAGGTCCTTTTGTTTTAATATCCTGAAGACAGCAGCTGAAGTTACGATACTGGATGCTCAGATGATCTCCCTGAGTGTAGGAGAGAATGGTTTTATATAAAAGATTTCAGAGTAAAAGATTTCAGAATAAAAGATTTTTTCCTTTTCTTAAGAGCCAGCTAAGGTTTCCCTCATCTCCCCCTCCACTGCTCCAGAGACATGGTCAAATGGGGAGCCCTGGGCCTAACCCCAAAGTAGTGTCTGTTAGGGACAGGTTTGGGGGGCAAGAGTCATGAAGTGAAAGCCACACCCCATCATTTATCTGAGATTAAATGAGCTCTACCAATGAAAGGATTTAACTGTTGCAAGAAGCCCAGGTCTGCATCACCTTTATCCTCATTTCCTAGCAAAGGAGCCAACTAGTGTTAATTGTGTTGGCAATTTGGAACAGCTACCTGGGAACTGATGCAAGATTGTGGAATGACCTCTCTGTCCTGACCTACTCCCAGCCATTACTCATAGTCTGATGGGAGAATTAGAGCACTAGTAAATATCTTTAGGTCAGAGAGTAAACATGCATTCTTCTCACATGTTGACAGCACCCTGACTGCCAATTTTAAATATTGTGCATGTGGTGGCCTGCGATACAGTTCTGCCATTGGGAGAGATATAGGTATAGATAGATCAGGACTGAAAAAATGCATGCAACACTGAAATATTAACAATCTTCACTCCTCCCTGCTACCTGCCAAAGACCACCCTGTTATTCAGAGCACTGTTACCTGCACCTCTCCATTCCCACTGAAAGCAGTTAAGTTAATCTTACTAAAGGGAGAGACGAAGGAAGAGAGAGAAGCCTGGGAGTTCGTGGGGGACTCTGGAGTGCCAGATAATAGAGGAGGGAAGAAAGGGGGACATGAGATTTATTATTGGAATTATGAGTTTGATCACCTTTAATGTCCTTGGGGAGTAACTAGTCAAGATGGGACTTTCAATGTTATTTATTCATCTATTTTCCCTTACAGGCGGCGCAGCTTTAACCATGACGTCTCACTGTACAAAATACATACCCCTGCTTCGTCAGGGTTATACAAGTGACACAAACAGGACGCAGGCATCCTATTGACAGTCATCTCGCCATAGAATTGTTCAGAGATGGGGTGGGAGGAAGGAAAATGACGTACGAAGTAGCTTTTCTGAACCTCACCACCCAATGACTGGAAGGCGTGTTGGGGCTGGTCTCCCCGCCCTTGAACACGCAAATCCTACTCTCCCCGCACCCCTATATTCTATGGCAATTAGATTGGCTGGACCGGGTGAATTGGATTTTCTAAGAGGACGCAATTCCACCGAAGATTTCCCCTGCTTCGCTCCCAACATGGTTACAGTTGCTTCAATACTGTAGCTATTCCTGCTTTCTTGGCCTCCAGGGCTAAAGTGGGACAAGACTGGTATTTTTGGTGATGAGGAAATATTTTGTTTTAAGGGAGGTGGGGTGACTGCTGAAAGCCCAACTAGGACGGAGGTCACTTCAGCGAGTGCAGGGACGTGTGGGGGGGCTGGCTCCCGGGCAGGCAAAAAGCACCCCCAACTCGGGGAAGCCGCAGCGCCCCGGAGCCGCTCGCACCCCGGCGGCGCCCGCTGCTCCATCCCCAGAGGGGGGCACCCGGGAGCCGGCGCCTGAGGAGTAGGGCCCACGCGGGAAGGTCGCGCTCGCCGGTGAGGTCACGGTTGCCATGGCTCTGGGCAGTGACGCGCGTCGGCACGTGACGCGCGGTTGCCATGGCGCCGGGCCCCGGCGGCGCGGGCGCCCCGCCTCCCGGAGTGACGTGCACCAGGCCCCCCCCCTCCTTTTCCCGCCCCCCCGCCCCTCCCCCCTGCCGGCTCCCCGCGGCCCCGGAGGTTTCACTGCACAACAAGATGGCGGCGGCGGCGGCGAGCGGAGCTGGCGGGGCTGCCGGGGCCGGAGCGGGGGGAGCCGGGCCGGCGGGCCGCCTGCTGCCTCCGCCCGCCGCGGGGCCTCCGGCCTCCCCCGCTGCCGTGCCCCCGGCGGCCGGCCCGCCGCGTCCCCCTGCCCCGGCCTCGCGCGGGCCGGTGCCCGCCCGCATCGGCTACTACGAGATCGACCGCACCATCGGCAAGGGCAACTTCGCGGTGGTCAAGCGGGCCACGCACCTCGTCACCAAGGCCAAGGTAGCGGCGCGGCGGGCAGGGCGGCGCGGGCTGCGAGCCCGGGACGGTCCGAGAGCGGCGCGGGCGGAGAGACCCGCGGTCCGGGGCTGAGGGTCGGCGCAGCCCGCCGGACTCGGGGTGTCGGGAGCGTTGGGGACCCGGGGAGCGGCGGAGGGGCTGTCCCGGGGGAGTGAGGACAGGGTGTGCGGAGGAGAGGGGTCGCCGGGGCGCTCGAGAAGGGGAAACTCCGTGGCAGAGGGCGCCAAGCGGGGGGGCGCTGGGCTCGGGAACCAGGGGAACTGAGGAACCCGGGACAGGGAGGGGGTTCCCCGGGAGTAGAGGGGGTGACTGGGGAGGAGATTTGGAACTCTCGTGGGGCCGGGAGACTGTAAACTGAGAAGGCTGTGGAACCAACAATTGGGGACTCCTGAGGGAGTGAGGGCAGGGGCATAGGAAATGTGCCCCGGGAGGATGGGGGGCAGCGGAAACCCGCAGAGTGGGGCTCCGAGCGGGACAGGGGCGGCTGGGAGACGCACTAGGGGTGAGCGGTGGGCGCAGGGTGCCGGGAGGTGGAGGTGCAGGACCTGGTGCCTTGTGACAGATACCAGTCAGCATCTGGTCATCTCGGGCTCCTGGGTGGTGGGGATGGGAGCCTGAGGCTAGACGCGGTCGTTGGAGGAGGGAATGAAGAAAATGGGGAAATAAAGAGGAAAAAATTACTTGCTTTTCCACAGGAAGGGGCTCCGGGAACTGAAATCCGGGGGGATGATGGGCTTCTGGTGGCACTAGATAATCAGGGGTTAAATAATTTGGGGGACTTGAATTGTGTTTTCGGTTGTTGGAGGGTCTGAAATTGTGGGCTTTCTAGGACCCAGGTGGGCTCTCAGGGGTGCAGGGCGGGGTGTGTGTGTGGGGGGGCGGGCGGGGAGAAGCCTGGTGACTGAGGAGGTGTATGAGGTACCCAGATGGGAAAGGATGACACTAGCTGGGCCCTTTGGTTCCTAAGGGATTTGTGTAGCTGTAGCAATGAGACTGGCCAAGGTCAATCAGGAAGCCATATATGTAGACATATAAAATTGACTTTTTGAGGAAATACCAGCAGCTTGCTTCATTAGGGAGTGTTGTCATTCAAGACATCAGGAGAAATAGTGTGATTTTGCTAGGACCCACAAAGCCCATTTGTACTCCAAATTTCTTTCTTTGCTCAATCTCTCACTTGAATGAATACTTTCAATGTAGTCATTCATTATATTTCAAACTGCAGTTTGTATTTCCCTCAACCTGACTATGAAGAATCCTTACAGCTGCTGCTGCTTCCTCCCAAAGCCACATCAATCCCCCTCACCTCCTTGGCCTAGCCTCTGATTATCATCACTTACCTTGTTTTTGCTTTTAGGGCAGCTTCTCCTATTCAGAAGTGGCTTCTTCTCAGGGACTTCTCTCCTGCTCTTTTCTGAAGTTCCCTTTTCCCTCCTTTCTGTCAAAGATTTCAAGACAGTCCTTCTTAGCACTGTGGCAGGGTGGTTGGCTGTGGAAAATTGATTGGTCAGTTTCACTTCCCCTGGGGGGGGGGCTTTAGCCTCTTTGTCAGTTTTTATCAGAGGTTCTTAAGTTTGAAGGTCTGAGCTGAGAGAGATACTGAAGTCCAGGGTTCCCTTAAACCCGGAGGGGGAGAAGACTGAGCTTGGAGTCTGGTGCATCTCCTCTAGTGTTTCCAGTTCTGTTTACTGTTAGCCAAGCCAAAGTTATGTTTACAAACAACTCTAGTTGTTTGAGCCTTGTTCCTTGTTTTGGTATTTCCTTTTATACCTTCCCTCTCTTCTAAGTAATCACATTGCTCTCCTGTGATTATTTTGCTCAGACCTCTAGGGGATGGACTCCGGGAACTTAATTAGTCGCCTCATTTATGGTATCTATGATTTAAAGAATTTTATATCTTCTAGCCCTCGGATAAGGCAAAATATTGATAAGAAAATCTGACAGACAGGGTTGAATGTTTTTGTAAATGTAATTGCAGTTGATTCTTGGCTTTATATATAAAAGAGACATTTCTGTCTTCAGTAGTCAGCAGAGCCAGTGGCTAATTATGGCTGGTCTGCCCGCTTTCTAATTTTCCTGTGTGTGTGTGTGTGTGTGTGTGTGTGTGTGTGTGTTTCTCTGAGATCTTGGTATCCTTTAGGACTGCAGCATTTTAAATATTAGCTTGTGAATGAGTGTCACTGTTTATGTTGGTTTTTATCTTTGATCATTTGTGGTGTGCAGTTATGCAATTCCTATGTATGGAAATATTCAGAATCTTGAATGAGATTGAAATGGCTTGCACAATGAGTTGCATGTGTAAGGGGACCACACCAAGCATTCATTTATGTTTCTGTTGCTGTGTGCACTTTTCTAGTTACAGTTACAATCTTTTGCTGCTTAAATTACTCTGACAACATGAGTGAAGCTTAATTCACAAGGAGTTGTCATGTGCATTGGGTGAGCGAGCAGCCTATTTTGGCCTGCCCATGCTTATTTATCTGAATCCACTTTGGAAGGGATACTCAATGCTGACAGCTGAAATGTGCCTAACAACTTCTGACACACACGATGAGGGCCTATTGAGGCCATGGTTTGGTTATATAATGGTGAGGAAGGTGCACAGGTACTAGTAGTTGCGGAAGCTGCTATTTCAGTCACTCAGGTAGATAGCTTTCCCCCATGCACTGCAGTATTTACTTTGGTTCTGCAATCAGGTCAATAGGAACCAAAGAAAGCTTTATTTCTCCCCATCTCTTTTCAGAATATATATATATATATTTTGTTTCTTCTTAGGGATATCTTATTTTCTTTTCTCTCTCTCTCTTTTTCTCCTTTTCTCCCTTTAGGCCACTGAAATGTAAGGCCTTGCTTCTCTTCACTGTATGTAACAATCAGATTCTGATAATTTGGTTGATATAAATTGTTGACTGAAGGAGATTAGGTGATAGATGTTGTCTGAACCTCAGAGAAGTATTTATGATCACCTTTTCTTAGACACATTACCTATTCCAAGGACTAAGAAACTAAAGTAAACTTCATGTATTGACTAAGCTTCTGCAATCTGTCCAATAATAAGTGGTAAAGCTGGCCCATTCCCAGATTCTGTTAACTCTCAAGCTTCCTAGAGTAGGACCCTGGGACGGATAAATCAGTAGAGAAAAGGACAGTTTCCTATTTGGTTCTTGGTGACTTTTGCAGCACGGCATTCATGAGCTCAGACTTAATATTGGCAGCACTGCAGTGCTAAGAGCGTCACTGCAGAACAGTTAACAGGAGAGAATATTCATCTGTGACATACTTTGGTCAGCTCACCCTGACTGTCTTTGTCCTCTCTTCTTTGATTTCCTTTTTTTGGGGAGGTGCCTTAGTCTGAGATTTTCTTGGCTCTATTCTTTTAGTATGACACTACAGGATATTAAGGAGATAAAAGAGAAAGCTAGATTTTCCATTCACAAATTGCCTAGGTATATATACCTTAAATGGCTGGGTGGGAACAAAGAATATATTTTGTATACATTTTTTTAGTACACATGACAATAAAAGGCCATTGGTCAAATACTTTTAAAGTGTACTTCAACAGATTTATCTCATTTGCTTGTTATTGGTTTATGGTAAGAATTTGAACTTTGAATAAGGCTGCCCAGGTTTGGCTCTTCTGCTGATCAATAGCTAGGTGACCTTGGGTAGGTTATTTTACCTCTCTGTGTTTGAATTTCCTTATCTGTAAAATGAGATGACAGTAGCACTTATCTCACAAATTTGGGTGTGGTGAAGACTAATGCATATATATATATATATATATATATATATATATATATATATATATATCTTAGAACAGCACCGGATACATAGTAAGCATGTAGTAAATGTTACCTTATCACCATCTCCATCATCATCAGATATTGTAGTAACAAAGCTGAAAGTGATTCAGTCCCCCCTTTTTGCTTTTCACCCATTTGGAACATGAATTGCACTTGCCATTCATTTGTTGTGAATGCCACGTCATCCTGGTGATATACTTTCAAGCCAAAAAAAAAAAAAAAATAGTCTGCTATTATCTTAGGCGCTACTCTGAGATACTTGAGATTAACTCTTGGGGACTATGGACTAATCTCAATGAATGTGGCATTTTAAGACATAATTTCCCATTAGTTAAACTTTTTTTAAAAATTTAGTTAGGCTCTTCTAATGAAAGTTGTGACTAATCACTGGCCTTTGCTTTGGACTGCTTCAAATTTTCAATGTATTTTGTGTAATTTTGTCATGTTGCTTGTCTGTTTGAATGCTGTCTTTTCTCTAGAGATTCACTTAAATTTGGTGGAGAATGTGAAGAAATATTTCTACAAACTTAAGAACACATTTACATTTGACTGTGGAGTGTGCTGCTTAGAAGGCCAAGGTCAGGATTCTTAACTTGAGGTATTATGCAGAGAAAACATTTTGCCCCATGATCCCATTCCAAATATTGGTCAGCCAGCACACATCTGTGTGATAATTGGTTCAGTGCAAACTCATTTCCATGAAGAGCACAACTCAAAGTGGGCTAATAGTATTATTTTCACTTCTAAGGATGAGTTCACTGAAGCAGATGACACGATGCTTGTACTCATTAGTAAGCAGAAAACAAGATTGCTGTTAAATAGAAGAATGAAAGATGTCAAAGGAGATGGAAAGCAAGGCTTGCATTCGTTGGAGGAATATAGTCTCATCCCTCAAGAATCTAGACAAGACCATTGAAAGTGACTGTTCATTTTGATACATTTGTGATGGGGTTACCAACTTTGCTGAAACTTTGTGAGGAGCTGAATCTGATTTGACTCTAATGGCTCCAGAGTCAAAATACCAGTATTCTACTTTCAACATCAAAGCTGTTTATTTTAACATCCTGACTTTGGTGCCAGCTCCCTAGAAAGTCATAGATCTGGCTCAAGCCAGAGGTGCCCAGACTAGTTATTTCTGTGCCAGCAGTGCTGTTTCATTTTCCAAGCATCAATCTGGCT